TTTGGAGGGTGTTAAACAGACCTAGTTTGAAAACTTTGCATGTATAGAATTTTTCGAAAACTCTTAGTTTTTAGCTATATGCCGATTTCTGAAGGACACCTTCTTTTTTTCTCATTTTCAGTACAAAAAAAGGTCCAAAAGGGGTGTCCTTCAGAAATTGGCAAATACATAGCTGAAAAACTAGGAAATTTCCAGAAATTCTGTTTTTAATCTAGGTCTGTTTTACACCCTCCGAAATTTTCAATGTGATTGAAAACTTGACAACCGAGCTCCAGACTCTTGAAAAATGGTCTAAATTGGCAAAAATCTACAAGAAATGCGTCTTATTGAACGGTACCGTATAAACGAAATATCGAGAAAATTATTTACCTTTAACGCAAACTAGTATAAACGTCTTATTGAACGGTACTGTATAAAAATTATTTACCTTTAACGCGAACTATTTAGATCTCAGAATCCAATGTTTTTGAAAATTACTCTTGGGTTCCGAAGACAATCTCAAAATGTTCCATTGTATGTATATGAGAAGTCACGCAGGCCTTGAGAAATCCTAGATGCTGTTTACCGTAGACATGCTTACAGAATGCCCCGCATACATTTTCATTGATTTTTTTCCTTGAACGAAACCTTCATTGGGAAAAGTAATGAAATTTTTTAACAACCTAACAAAACAACAACATTATCGGAAACAATTATAAAAGTACAACAGAATTACAGTTTGGACTTTAAGAGGAAAGAAGGTTATTAATCACATTGAACTTTTCTTCGACATTCCCACTTTCATCCGTAACTGCTCTAGAATGAATTAACTGTGCCAATATTTCAAAATGATATGTGGAGTTATTTCGTTTATCTCCCCATTCTCGATAGTACCCAATAAGTGGTTTCGAAGATGATGCTGAAAAAAAAATAATTCGACGAGTTTCCAAAAAAACACTAGGGTCTACCAGAGAAAAGCAAAAAATTAAGAAAATCAATTTTCAAAATCAATCACTTACCACTATTTGGTTTCTCATGAAAATACCAAGCCAGTGATGAAAAACAGAAGAAAAAGAGAAAAATTACAACAAACATTGCTAATTTCTCTTTCCTCCTTCTGGCATTAGCAGGAATTGTTTCGTCAATTGGAACATTTTGATATACTGGCATTATGAGAATAGATAAAAGGTGATGAAGTGGTCTTTTTATGTATTGAAGGAAAGGATGAGCAATTTTCGCATACTGCGATCTTGCTAAGAAACTCAGAATCTGAGGAAAAAATTAGTCATCAAACAGATACCATAAACACATTAGGCTAGGAATTTTGTCAGGTTTCCGATCACTTTGGAGGTTGTAAAACAGAACTAGATTGAAAACTATAGATTTTTTTTTGAAAATTCCTAGTTTTTCAGCTATTTGCTGATTTTTGCAGGAGGCCTGTTTTTTCTCGCTTTCAGTTAAAAATCATGCCTGAAAGGGGGTTGTTTGAGAAATTGGCAAATAGCTGAAAACGAGGAAAAAAAAATTTTGTGAATTCAAAGTTTTCCGTCTAGATCTGTTTTAGACCCTCCAAGATTTCCAAAGTGATCGGGAACTTGACCGCCGAGCTCCAGACTCCTGAAAATAGTAAAATGACAGGAAATCTGGAAAACACATTTTTGTACATTTTTTCTTTTTCAAAAGAACATGTCTCACATTAAAAAGTGACCTTGAAAAATATTTGATCTTTTTTTATCATATGAAAACCACATGTCTTCTGATAAGGCTCTTATCACATGCATGCATTCTATTTTCAAAACGGAACGAATTGCTTATCATAATGATAAATTTATCAAAAAACATGACCCGAAAAAAGAATTCACTCGAAAACAATTTAAAAATGTGAAAAAAAAGCAATTACCGTAAACAATCCAATATGAAAAACTTTGAGCCTATGCATCTCATTTCCTGTAAAAGATATTAAAAAGTTGTCAACTGATAAAATGTTTAACATGATAACACCAATGTTTCATCAGTTGACAACTTTTTTCTACCTTTTACAGGAAGCGAGATAAGCTGGCTCAAAGTTAAGGAAGTCACCATTTTCGAGTGTTTACGGGTACTTGTTGAAAAATGAGTCACATTTGAACAAACAGAAAACAGCTTATATTTTTTTGTAACTTGCATGAAGAAAACAATTTGTAAAACCTTTGAAATAAGTAACAAAATAAATAGAGTGAAAATGGGTGAAATGTTTATCGAACCCATTCATCCAATTTTTTGTGGGATTCAACGACAGCCTTCAAGTGGTCAGTTACTTTTTGGAGAACCTAAACAACATCTTTTGGTATTTTTTTCAAATTTTTATAAACATTGTACCTGTGGCGCATTTTCTAGCAGATAGGTCTTGAAATATTGTTCACATTCGTCAAATGATGGACGCTTTTCCGGTTCCCAATCCCAACATCTCAGCATAAATTGATATCTTTAAAAATCAACAGTTCATAATTCAAAGATTTGATTTTGACTTACATCTGCTGAGGACAACAATCTGGTTTCGAAATACGTCTTCCAATTTTCAGGAACTGTAAAATGTCCCCAACGTCTTGATATGGGATTCCGCCTAGAGAAAAAATTTCCCAAAGGCAGACGGCAAAACCCCAAACATCGGATTTCTCGTCGAATTTGTGATTTGCGAGAGTCTCCGGAGCCATCCAATGGAATGGAAGAGGCATTTCTTTGTGGATGATTCTGTAATAGTGCTTCTCATTTTTCCTGGCCAATCCCAAGCCCCCGATTCTGATAGTTTTATCGTTGGCAATGTAAATTGAGCGAAGAGCCAGTTGACGGTGAACGTACTGAAATTCAGAATATGAATTTGATGTTAAAAGGATGAAAACCTCACCGATAAGTTTGCCAAGTGCTTCATTCCACTGGCAATTTGCCATCCAAATGCGACCAAGTCAGAAATGAAAATGGCATCTGGGTGTACTCCATGTTTCAAAGATGGAGTCTCATTGTTAGAATTGTTCGAATAGGATGATGGTTCATTATTAACATGCACAAATCCATCATCTTCATCTTCCACGAGCTGGTTTTGGAATTTTCCTTGGCTCAATGTATCTCTCAGGAAATTCAGAAGACATCCTTTTTCTGCATACTCGGAAACAATGGAGAATTGACCCCTGAAAAGAAAGGTGTTGTTTGGGATCAAGATTTTTTGTCTTTCTGAAAATACCGTAAAAACCCCAATAGAAGAGCACCCAAACCGCCAACTTTGAGCCCATTTGCCTTGGTTCTTGTGAAAGATATGAAATAGTGGTCAACTGATAAAGTATTGGTCATATTATGAAAAACATTTTGACAGTTAATCACTTTCTGATATTTTCTAGAGGAACCGAGATATATGGGTTCAAAGTTGACGTTTTGGATGGCCGCATGCTGAGTTGGGTTGAGCGAGCGATGTGTGTACACAAAACCCTTTGCACCGTCACGTCAAAATACATACTCTAACTTCAAAAAACTTTACAAAATCTTTCGTATTTTCTCCTAAAAGGACGTAAATGACATCTTTTAAAAATCGATAACTTTGGCTTAGGCTTAGGCTTAGGCTTAGGCTTAGGCTTAGGCTCAGGCGCAGGCGCAGCCTGCGCTATTTGGCGTGAGGTAAAGGGGGTCACCATCTCCAAATCGGCCCAAATTTTCAGAATAGGTAGCTCTCAAAAAATAAAAAATATAGTTTTTTTTAATTCCCAAAATGGTCCACCCCAAAGACGGTACGCCCCATACAAACTTTTTTTCGAAATTTTTATTTTGGTCATAACTTTTTTTGTAGTAGAGCTATTGGGGAGTACTTTTTTGCATTAGGGTCCATATTGGATGGGCAGTACGCTGACATTTTTTTTGATCTACCAAAATTTTTCTGGTAGATCAAAACTGAAAATTTTTTTTTTTTAACGGTCATAACTCGATTTTGATCAGGACACGACTATATTTTGAATAGTGCATATGAAAGCTCTCGTCGAGTACTACAACATGGTGCAATCAGAAAAGTAGGTCAACATCCATTTTCGGTAGGTCAAATTTGTTTTTGGGCCATAACTCGGGAACGGTGGCCGCAATCAAAAAGGTCTAAACAGTAATATTGTACAGTTTGGTTTTTTACATCTTTTGGTAGTACTATCTTTTTGGTCCATCGTGGCTGGGGCGACTTAGGCGCGTTCGAAAAAAAAGTTGTTGCCCCATGGTACGCTATTGCAAAAAACGCTGGGGTACCCAGTGGTAGAGACTATATTTATTTGGAAGCCCTTAATTTTTTTAGTAGAATATGTGAATTTCTCAAAATTCTGATAGTACAAATTTTTTTTTTGCAGTTTGAAAATTACGAATTTTTAGTTTTTGGCCAATAACTCGGTAGCGACGGCTTTAATCAAAAAAGTCCTAATAATAAAAGTTGTAGAACGTTTGATTTTGCACATTTTGTTAGTACTTGATTTTTTGATACGGTAAAGCTGGGGCGACTTAGACGCGTTTGAATTTTTTTGAATTTTTGTATGTAATTTTTAAAGCTTGATTGCAAAAAATCTAAAAAACCAAATCTTACGAAACTATTTTTTTCTGAAAGCCCGACATTTGATTAGCTTAAGTCCAAAGTTTAATCAAAATCTGAAAAAAATTTTTCGAGATTTTTTTTTTTGAAAAAATTTTTTTAAATTTTTTTTCAAAAAAAGTAGTTTTTTCAATTTTCAGTATTTTAGAAACACGGTACCCTTTTGACATGTATTGTGAAAATTTAGAACACACCGAAACACACATTTTGGTTTTTCTATCGAAAGGATTGGTCCACTTTGAGCCGAGTTATGGCGCTTCAAATAGTGAAAATTCACTTTTGGCTTCAAAATGGAATTTTTTAAAATCTCAAAAACCCCCCAAGTTCGATTCCCTGAGTATGTTACTATCTTTTGCTTTGTGTGTACATCATTTTTGGCAAAAAAAATTTCGAAAAATTCCATCCCTTGACCGTTTTT